CCCCAAAACCCCAAAACCCCAAAACCCCAAAACCCCTCAACATCGAGTAAATATTGAATTTTTGTACTAAAATTTTAGAATATTCTTGTTATTTTCTTTGCTCCAATCAGCTTCAGCTGCTTGAATCTTTAATATTCTCTGCTTCCTTCTCTTCATAAGCATTTTGAGATCAAATTCTCCTCTCTTTGCAATTGCTTGATTTGCAGTAGGATTAGCTTTGAGAAGCCAATTTTTATCCTTTTTCCATCTCTCACTTTCAGTCTGGATATGAATAGGAAATCTATTTCTTGGCTTGACCTTAAATGTCTTCCTCTGTCCATCTTCTGAAGTTTCATATACCTAAAAATAACATTGAGCCCTACGTTAGACTTCGAGTTCATGCGTCCCTTAAGTTTGTCCACACTAAGTCTATTAGGTTTCTCTTTATCTCCCCCATCTTCTGTGTCGCTGTCACTATCCCCTTCCTCACCCTGTTGCACTATATCACATATAGATTTGTTCATGATCTCTCTCATATTCTTCAGATGACTCGCTTGCACGGTTTCTAAAAAGTTCCAAAGAGTCTTACCGTCCTTGATCCGTTCAGCCAATGTCTTATTACGCTTATACTTGCTGTAGCCGGCCTCATCAGTCAGATCATGAACATGTGGAGAAAAGTTCTTTCTTAAAGCCACTTTGGTTTGCTTCGGAGATTTCGAATTTTTATCGATCTTTAACCCACTGTTTATGTATGATGAGAGGATATTGAGGTTCTTTGTAGGCCAATCGAAATTTGTATTTGGGTCTTTGGAGGGTTTTGTGCTCATAGAGTTGAATTTGCGATGCACTGGTTGAAAGGTTTTGTCTAGGTCTGATTGGTGAGATATAGAGGGAAGGAAGTACCTTGAAAGTTGTTGCTAATTTTGGTTTGGAGGCTGCATTTGGGCTGGAGGAATTTGGAGATCAATGTCTTCCGGTCAAGCTTAATGCTTCCTATGAAGTATAAGCCTACTGCTTGAAGTAATTTTCAAGGCTGTTTATAATATTACCTTTACTCTTGCCAAAATTGGTTTTGTTCCATTTTGAAAGAATCGAAATTTTCATGTTCTCAATTTTGGGACTGTCGTAAGACTACAAAAACTTTATCAGATTCTAAAGCCAAATTCCTTAATTTGCAAGAAATGGCGAAATATACAACCTGACAAAAATAGGCAGCATAAAGCAAGCACTTACAATAGGCTCAGGCATTTGACTATATCCATGCATTCTGCTGGTTGAAGAGTCTTTAGAGAAGTGCCTTCTAGAGTGAAGCTCTGGAAGAATTTTCCCCTTCACACTATTCGAGATACTAGCTCTCTGGTCAAAATTATAAATCCCTGTTACTTCTGGAAAGAACTTTGTCACTGGTGTGCCGTTTTGTAAGCACCTTTTTTGCCCTCCTTGAGAAATATCAATTTTATAGTACTTATCCCTCTCTATATCCTTCCAAAGTTGCATCCTTATTTTCAATTTTATAAAATTTATTTGGGGTTTTGGGGTTTTGGGGTTTTGGGGTTTTGGGGTTTTGGGGTTTTGGGGTTTTGGGG